AAAGGGAAAGAAAAATAAACAACACAAAGCAACAAACAAACATAAATGGTGAGGGAAAAAAAAATCCAAAGCTATTGTGCAGAGATAAAGGGAAAAATGGATAATGAACCATCAAAGATTTTGAGTAAGGTGATCAGATACCTTGTCAAAGAAATGGGTGTTAAAAGCAGGTGGAGAAGCAGAGTAATTCAGACAAATTTGGAAACACGATTAAGCCCTGGGCAAAGGTTACAGACTTTAATGATGGACAGAAGCAGTGAAAGAGACCAGAGCCATTGGAACAGAATGATCGAGCTGATTATAAGCGGTGGAGGAAATTACAGAGAGTGAGAGACATGTGGCTTTTGAGAATTAAAAAAAAATACAAAACTAAGCAGGTTGGGTAAGACCAACACTACAAAACAAAGGACTGTGGAATTGGCATCTCTATCCCACAAGATGGTGCTGTGTAACTTTCTATTCTAGTTTGATAATGCCCACCTTCCCCAGCTGCCATTGTAAGAAGGGGGAATGCTGGGAAACTGCTTATCCTGTTTATGTAAAAAAAATGTATAGGCCTTCATATTTTACATTTGGTTGAAAGCTACTTTCATGACTGTTAGCCATTAGCAGAAATTAATTATTTTACAGCTAATTCATAAAGTTGTAGGAGCTGTTCTGAATGCATCAGCAAGATTGTGTGTGAAAGAACGTTCAACATCATCAGCGTTCGGAGCCCTGTGTGATCAGCTTGGTTTGCTATAACACCTGCAAACTTGGGCTAGAATTTACTCTGCTGGTGGGTTTGAAGATTGGTGGTGGAGCCAGAACATATAAATGCAGCAGCCCACAGGGAGAGAAAAGCTAACACTTGTCGTGGTCATTCTGGACCTCCATTATGTAGAATACGAGATGACTTAGACCAGAATGCCTCTTTCACACGTTTTATAAGACTTTCCTTCTGTGAGGTGTCCTTCCCACCACTCCTTGCCCATGTTTTGCATGAAATTTTACAGGAGCCTAGGGAGACCTATACATTCTTGAACTTTTATTGCCCTTAATTGGTCAATTAATGGCAACCTAAGGGCTTCATCTCAACCCCATCGATCTCCATAGAACAGGGGAGACCAACAGCATGGGGAAAATCTGGCAAGTTTAAATGCATGGGTCCATGTCAGGCAGAGAGTGGGGGACCTCCTATGTGAGTCCTCTGGACCCCTCAAAGGCACAGTTTCCACTTTGACCCTCTCCCTGGTCTCTTGAACCCTGTCCTCCACCAATCCACCTCACCCCTACCACCACCACCTGCATCTACCCCCTGTCTCCATTCCCAAGATATAACCAGACTCCTTCGCTTGGTGGGACTGCCTGTAGTCCCAGTGGTAACCACCACTCCTGGGTCACAATACAGAGACTAGAGAGCTGTTAGCCAATCCAGTGGACAGCAGATATCTAGGTGGGACTTTCTCCAGAGAAATTGGCCTTATAGCAATTAAAGCTGCCCCCAGTGTTGCTGTAGGGCAGCTACTGGAATTAGCGAACAGGGAATCTGGTCCATTGTGTAATCCCACCCTTTGTTACAGAGCTGGATACATCTGAGCCAAAAGTGTAATGCGTCTCTGAAGTCAACCCTACATGCCATGGTTAACAAAATTAATTCCTTTGTAAACATGCTCTAGCTGTTTGTTACTCAACTTGCAATATTACATTACCCCAAAAAAAAACCCGCACTCAATAAAGTCTTTATCATGAACGGGAGGAAAGTATTGAACCTTATTTCAGATTATTTTTAAAACTTCCATTGTAGAATGGTATATAAGAAAAAAAATTACAACGTAGGGTCCTATTTTTATCCTTCATATTTCCTTATGAATACATACTATAATATGTCTTGTAGCTCAGTTCATTTCCTGGATGTTGCCAATAGAAGAGTTCCTTTACAATGCCCCATTTGCCAGGAGCCTTCTGTAAAGTTTTTAATTGCTCTGCATTCAATAAGAATCGGGATGTGTGCACTTCACATCCTGAAATACCAAAGGACAATGCATAACATTAAACTTCAAAACAAAACCAAATTCTGCTCTTACTGTTCATCAGTAACATGCTGTTTTAATAAATGTATATTCAACCTGGTAACTGAACCATTTGGCTCTCTTTTCTAGATATTTCCATAATTAAACATTCTGCTGAATAAATATGAATGAGATTTGTAACTAAGACAAAGTGTACTTTTGCTATTAAATTCCCAGCCATGAAGAACATTGTCTGCCCTCTTGGGTTGATGTAAAAGCCTCCATGACACTATTCCAAGATTAGGTATCTTCCTGGTGCCCTGGTATCTCTGTTTCAACATCAATAAAAATCAATTATATGGTCAGACACCTTATTATTGTGTATGGGACTTTGCTGAGAGCAGTAACTGCTATATAAAGACATGCATTACAACAATGCCCACAAATTGGCTGAAAGACACTTTGTGAGGTCCTAAGGACATGAAAGATGCTTAACAAATATAGATTATTTCTCAATCTCCCTGAATTCTCACTTACAATATAAAGATAAAATTGATTTTAATGGTGGTTGTGAGAGTTTGCTGTTTGCAAATCTCCTGATGCTACTCCTACAATAGTGATTCCTACTTATATTGCTGCTTCTGAGTTAGATTGCAAGAATATGGGACTAGTTTAGTTTGGGAAACTGGATGAGTAGCCCTTGATAGCTCTCATCCTTCATATCCACCACCCAGGTCCCCAATCCTTTTCACTCACTTCCAGGCCACATTCATGCCAACTCATGTCAACCCACGCTTCCTAACCATTTCATGATCCTTTACAGATATGCCGAATTAATGCCAACTCATGACAACTCAACCACCATCCTTTTGCTCTCCAAGCAATTCTGCCAGTAGCCACCATGGGCTGACATCAGTAGCCATGTTGAGATGAAACAAACTAAAATTCTAAATATCTATTATAGGCTCCAGCCTTTGCTATAATTAAAAAAAACTTCATATCAATCTCCTCAAGTACACAATTCTTTATAAAATCGAAAGACATGTGTTCATACCCCACCAGAGACAGTTAATCCTTTAATAATTTCTTTAAGGTATACATCAAATGGAGACATTTGTGGTTGTGAAAACAGTCAATTAGTAACAATTAGATAATGGGGAATGTTAACAAAAACTGTTGTAAGTTCAAGAGCAAATGTATTTAAGCCCTCGCTGATACAGCCAGCCTATTTTACAACATTATACAGACCTGGGGATTTAAATGGCCTCGTGGATGGAGATTTCTTTTTTCTCTCACACAGGCAGCTATATTTAATTATTAAACATTTTAGGATTGAAATAATTTCACAGCTTGACTGTCCGACAGTCTTATCTGCCTACAACAGCATTTATGAATACTGTAAAATTTCATAATTCCTACATTGTGGGTTGAGGACTTTGCAACTATGAAATTGGGATCTGTCTGAACTCAGTATTGAGTTAAAATGGCCCTGTTGTGTTTGGTTTTCATTCTTGTTAACCACGCTGAAGCCCTTTCCTCATCAGAAGAAATGGTAGCTGTTAGAACTGGGGGTGGGAAATCCCTATCTCGGATCCATTCATCAAGCTGGAGTCTTTGTGGAATCTCTACAGCTTGGCAAACTTCTGGGTCTAAATTTCAAAAGTTTGTTGTTGATTGCAACTTGATTTAGGGTGTCTGTTTTGATACAACTTTGTTTTCTTTTGTACTTTACAAATATGCAACAAATATTTATCATGGTGGTACTTCAGGTTAGGGTTACGATTATGTTATGTCTAAATGAATTGCTGGTTTCATTCAACAGTAATTTTGTTGCCTTTAAACTTGGATTTTAGAATTTTTACTTCCAAATGGTTATGACTCATAGTTAGTATGTAGTATACATTTAAGAGATATGACATCATCATCATATCATGTGACCTGAGGGTATAAAATTTTCAGACTCCATCTTAACTGGGGTTACATGAAGCATGATACATTGATGAAATGTGTGACTGCTGGTGACCAAATAGCTTAATATTATCCCTGAAGCATTGCTGCATCAAATAATGTCCTGCTACAGGCAGAATTCACAGCATGGTGGCAGATAAAAGGGGAAAAATGAGTCATCAGGTACTCTCTCTCAAACATGATGACCTGAAAGAACCAGGACAAGAGTGGATCTACCTGTAGCCAAATGTTAAGCAATATGTGGAATATCAGATTTTTGACTATATTTCTGTTGCCAGAAATTTGGGATGGGATGTCAACAGGTTTTCAAATGTTACACCATCATATCAAGAAGCTGTGTGAGGAATTCTTGAAGGACTCTGAGATTGGGTCCTATATGCTTTGTTGCAAAAATTGGCCCTAGTCCCTCATATGTGCCAATGATTTTCAATTGGGGATTGTGGTCTTGATGCGTAGGTAATTTTTGTATGACAATTCTACATCATATGTGTTGCTCGATAACATGGTGCAATGTGCAGATATTCACCAAAGCTCCTTAGACAGCACCTTCCAAATCCATAAACATGACCATCTAGAAGGACAAGGGTGGCAGATACATGGGAACACCACCAGCTGCAAGTTCCCTTCCAAGGCACTCATCACCTTCACTTGGAAACGTATCACTGTTCCTTCAGTGGGTCAGAATCCTAGAACTCCTAAGCTAAAGGCATTATGGATCTATTTATACTAACTGGGCTGCAGCAATTCAAGATTGCGGTTCATCACCATCTTTTCAAGAGTAACTAGGAACAGGCAATAAATGCTGTCCCTGCTTATGATGTCTGCATCCCATGAATGAATAAAGCAAAAAAGACCTAAGGTGGATTGCAGAGATCACAGTGTCAGTGCTTAACATTTTTGGAACATTTTGAGTCCTGTTTCCACCAGGCAGAAGGGGACAAAATCCAACACCTTCAGTCAAAAACTTGGCATCACTTTTTTCTGACCCTTTAACATTAATTCAGGAATTATGAGGAGAAGGTGATGAATTATCATACTTACGATTCTGGGAGCAGTGTCAAATCAGGTCTCATCACTGATAGGCTGGGGGCATCATACAGGACTGTAAACCTGTGAAACCATTTGTGGAAAGAAGTAAATGTGATCTTAAAGTCTTCCCAACTAATATTTTTACATTTGTGAGGACAGTTTGTTTCTTCTTAATGATATTGGTAAACTTTTCACTGCACTGGATCCACCACTATCAAGTCACACTGATAGGCTAGTCACTCCTGCCCTATACTTTATGTAAACTCATGGATAAAAGATGGCATAAAAGGAGAGGCCTCAACGCAAGAGTATAGGTTGGCGTTCATTCTGAGCAGCAGGGAAAAATAACATGCATTGCCAAAAAATCCACAGGAGTCATCCAATGGAAAAAACAATCCCTTCAGAGCTTCAACAACATTCTTAAGTGCAGCAAAAAGCTAGCTCAGTATTTAACACTGCAGTGCAGAGCAGGGGCAGAAACTTGAGTGCTAGTCTTGATAAGATTTACCCTCTTATTTCTTCATCAACACAGCACAATGTTGTGAATCATAATAAAATGCACATTGCCTAGTTTTCATGTGAGGCTGCACAGTTCCTTCTCCAAGAATAATTTAAAAAGCATTAATCAAATGCACATATTTTAAAAAGGTTTAAATCAAATTTGGTAATAACCATGTCGACCTGCTTGATATTCAGTGCTGCTCTTCAAGATTGATAAGCTATTGGAACATAGCTGCTGGTGCTTATACATGCTCATAGATTTAAAAAAAATAGTGGATCCCTTATAACTTTAACAGATCAATTTTTAAAGATTATATTGAATGACTAAAATGAGAAGGGGGACTACTCACAATGCAGGCCTCAAATGAATGATAACTTAATATACTGAAAATCAATTGGCAGCTTGGTGCCTTCTGGCATCCTGAGAACACAGGAAAGGAATTATATAAAAGCAAACACAACTTTTCTACCCTTAATTTATCTATCATCTTGTAAAACTTGCATAAGTGCAAGTAATCGTGTTCTTCAAAAGCAAAATACAGCAGATGCTGGAAATCTGCAGTAAGGGTGTAAATTTTAAAGGATTCCAAGCCATGGTCTGGTCCTGACTAATTCTGCCCACAATGTTGGATCTCACCATCAACTCCCTTTGCACGCTCTATTATCGGTCTCCCCTCAGCAAATATTTACGCAAACAACATCTTTAACACAGTAATTTTTATTTAACAATTTAAACTACATGGAATGCTCTGAACACATACTCAATGGATTGACAGGAACTGCTATTAGTTTTGCTTTGTTACATATATTGCCTTCCAACAAACTAAACTAACATTGGTTCATATTTTGGCATTTGAGCCAACCAGCATGTTGGGTAAACATATTGTGATCATTTCTGCCAATCATGATCCCTTCTCTAAAGTGCAGTTCATAATAGCTTCGTGACATGTTTTTGAAGTATATCGGTCAGAAAAGTAGGGCACCATGGATTGATAAGAATCAAACAGAAAAATTGAAAATGAATTATATGGTGCTTCTAAATGATTTTTATACCATTACAAAAATGTTTTATGTTTAATAACTACATTTTCCTTTAATGGTCAATATTATAAACCTGGAAAGCGTGGACCAAAACAGTGCAGAACATCATCTTGACTCTTTTCCTGAATTTCTACAGCATATTGAAGGTTATCTTCATCAACACGTTGCAACTGGTCTGAGCAGTCATTGCTGTTTAAAAAAATTGACAGCAATATTTATCATAGAACAACTGCTGAACTCTGAGCACTGCCCTGTTAAATTATTTATGTATCAAATACCATTTCCTCTGGGCTTTAAAATTCATTCGTGTGCTTTTCTTACAGCAATAACATTTCTTTATAAACTTACATTCAAAACTATTGACCCAATCGATCAACTCATTGAATAAATTAACCTTGAATATTGATAGCTCAAAAAAGTTGATGGCCATGTTGTATTAAGGCAAACTGGTAGGGATTTGTTCCCTTGTAATGTATAATCACTATTGGCATAGATTCATCACATTTCACTTTAAGGTTGATACTAAAGTGCTTTTTGTGTTTCATTTTCAATGATACTCCTTTTAATTAGATTTTGAGTAATTGGGCAACAGCCGCCTAAACTGTCTTAGGCTGCCAACAGTGAGCATCTTAAATTAGTTCTTACTAGATGTGAAAGAGTGGCACATTTTCCAATACCAGGGACTCAGACGATTAAATTTTGGTTTTTCTACCATAGGTCATCATTTGGACAAATAATCAATTCAATGTTACTTCAGTCTTGGTCAAGCTTACTTGCTGATAATCCTGTAGCCACCAAGTTTTGCCTTCCGCATGTGTTTGTCAAATACTTAACTTGCTCATCTTTCATAGATAACACAGTGTGCAGCTGGAGGAACACAGCAGGCCAGGCAGCATTAGAGGAGAAGGAAAGCTGAAGAAGGATCCCCGGCCCGAAACGTCAGCTTTCCTGCTCCTCTGATGCTGCCTGGCCTGCTGTGCTCCTCCAGCTCCACATTGTGTTATCTCTGACGCCAGCATTGGCAGTTCTTACTATTTCTGTTGCTCATCTTTCAACTTTTTTTTTTATTCTTTTATCTTATTCTAGGAAAATAAGTGTCTCGAATACAGCCTTTCCACGCTACAAATGATTGGAAAATTTTATGGTAAGTCACTATCAGAAATTTATAATGACTGACTCAGTCATGCTTCCAGAACTAGTGAGAGCGCTCCTGTTAATAAACATGGTTCTGATGCCCCAAGCATGCTCAGTTAGATTGTAGTGTACAGTGGAGAAGAACAATGAAGAGACCTTAAATGGAGAAAGATACAAATTAGCAGCTTGGGGACACAAGGGATGTCAAACCAAAAAGTTAGAATCATATCAGTTAAAGAGACAGCCAGCTATTAAAGAACAAAGTTAAATGCAGATACCAATTAGGCGGCTGTTGTCAACAACGAGACAGTATCAAGTGACCTGTGGAGAAGGTCTAAGGCAGTTTACAGATGCTATGTGAGTGTGCTATCAAAGGGCTGAAGTTTATCAAATTCGACTCATGTCTATTCCCGTATGTTTTATGTGGGGTTTCTTTCTACAAACTCTAGTGAGCTATCTCACGCAATTCTCCACTGGTCACCTCAGTATGTAAGCACCACAACTCTGTGGCACTGCATTCATGATATCGTGCGCTCAAAAATACTTACCACTGCTGGGACCTTCTAGGATTTCCGCTACTACCGTACTTAAAACCTAACTATGCATCAGATCAATTGCTACCGGCCAGGAATAGCCCTTCACAGTACACATAGTGGGAGGGAACTAAAAAAGAAAACCTTCTAAGAACACTTCATAGCAAACAGAGGCTCCCATTTGTAAGTGTATTACTACTGTACATCATCACCATCATTGCAACTGCACGTACAAAAATTAAGCTAAAGAGGCTCCTGTCCTTACTGCTGTACCATGTTGAAACACTGTTAAGGGAGTGCTACTCTTTCCCTAATGCCCAGCACAACTTAACGTCTTGTCATTGTTCAGGACTGACCGCAGGCTCCCCACCTTACTGACTTTGAAGGATGGCCTCAACTGCTGAATGATCAGACCCCTGACTGATATTTACACTGGACCTGCAGGAGTAACCACAGCCCACTCCCCAGATTGTAATGATATGGAACCCTTGACCCTTACTATCTAAAGCAGCTGACTAACCACATCCAAGTTCCTGGACTGGGATAAAATGATATATTTCACTGACTGTGGTGGGAATCCCTGACTGACAATCTGTCCTTCCTGACTTGACTGAGGACGATTCCCCTTTAACCTTGAACCACGGCCATTTGTCTGAATTACGTTCATTTGTTTGTCATGTGACATTGACATAACACAATGCTGTACAGCAACGTCTCCACACCCTTGACTAATGACTGCTGACAACGTTAACAAGCTTCCTGGCTTTGTGTTTGTACTAGACGGCAAAACAGAAGTACAGTGAGCCTGCAAATTCTGAAGGCATTGTCAGAGTGCAAAATGGCAAGATGAAGCAGAGATCCTGTGAGCATCCAAGTAGGCATAAGGTGAATCAGAGATGTTCCATGCTGGTGTGGACATGCTTGTGCACGTTTGATGCCAACCTCCATGGTTGGGGTTACAGAACATGCTCCATTGGCAGCAATTGCCTGGGATGTTGAAGATATAAACCTAGAGCAGCAAGTTGCAAACTGGAGCTGTCAGGTACTCTGGGACTTCAATCTCAGAATTGTCTCCACTCACAATGACGATGACCCTGTCTAACTGTGCAATGCAAAATGTGCCTTTCTTATCTGGTTCTGCTCAGAGTCAATTCTTGGCTACAGTGATCCACATTTCATTTAGACAAAGGATTTCAGGTGTTTGAATGCTAAGTGCCACTACCATACAACTGTCTCTTTTAATTAAGTTATTTTAACTTACTTAAGTATTACGCTACAAATCTGACTTAACTCTAAAACTGAACTTGGAAAATCTAGCCAGTTGAATTCCCACTTTCAACCACATTCCCAGTTTTATTCATTTGGCCTTTACCTCACTCAAAAGTCTCCACTCACATTGAACTGCACTCCTTACTTCAAAGATTCAAGGGAATCAGAAAGACTGGACCAACATTTCCAGGGTCTGCTCTCTCCCTGGATTCACTTTGTTTCCCTTCAGTTCCTGCAAATCAACAATTTAACCCCAGAATCAGAAACAAAATGAAAACGCCAAGGAAAAGAAAGTGTTTTGTCCACTGCCCACAGACATTGGACAAAGGAGGAAGTTTCAATCTGGGTGAAGCTCAGTTATTATTCAGAGAGAAAACAGTAGCAGGATCAGGTTATTTCCTGGGCAGGAATATGATGCATGCTTTCATTTGCACAAAAGTATTCATCTATCATTGAGAAATAGAGGGGCTAACTGTGTGATTGACTCCCAAAACCTGAACATTTAGTTTAATTTCCTGTCCTGCAAAAGTCATGTTTCTTCCAAAGGATAGCAGAGAATAAAAGCCTTTCTGACCTTTGTATTGCTGCACATAATGCTCATGT